TAGAAATAGTAGGCCCCAACCAATCAACGTACATCATTGACAGTTGTCTTCTGTGGGTGACCTTCTGAGGCGCGTCTTGCAAGATTTTTGATTTCCCCCACGGAAAATTCCTCGCCAAGTCCGGTGAAGGAGCAAACCCTAAAATCAAGTCACTTGAAGCTGAAATTTCTCAGTAGTCCGCTGTCGAGCGGCGTCGCAACTACAGGTAGTGCGGCAGCGCTACCTTTTGGAGTTCTTCCGCGCACGATAGTTCGGCTTGCATGGATTGGGAGGGTCCTTTGATAGAAATACTATCTTCAAAACTGCTCGAAATAGTTTGAGTACACTCTCAGTCACAGACATCAGTTCGCCCTACAATAACCAGACATGGATCGATCGAGGCTCCACGAGACTTACCCTGGCTGAAACATTGCGGGTGGTACCGAAGATCTCTTCCATACTCTTCGTCTCATCTACTGGTGTGCAACGGGAGACAACCTGACCACGGCGATATAATAAAGCAGTTTTCGCCTTGACCGACGTGTCGCATAGCCGTAAAACCATCAGCGATCGAATGATGATACCTGACGAACACACCGGTAGCAGCTTATGCCAAATGTGTTCACCTACTTCCAGACGAATGCACTGGTTATGATATCGCTATCTCTTGGTTTGTAATTCTGGATGAACACAACTCGCCAGAGCGGGTTCCTGAATGACCATAAGACCCCAGAGGGCTCAGCCGGCGGCCCTACTTGGTGGGAAGAGGGGTCGAGCACATTTCCCCGAGCATTTTTTCAAAATCCTCATGAGTGATTTGTTCTTCCACACAGCTTATGTTGTCCATTGGTTTCCAGTCCTCGGGAGCATCAGTCCAGTACATGCGGCCTTCTGAACAGATCACGTTGAAATGTAGTTGTTTCACTTGAGGCCCTTGTCTACCATCACTATGCACCAAGCGTTGTGCAAATCTTCCTTCTCTCCCATAAATACGTATAAACTGTTCGGCGAAGCCAGAAAAGTCGACCTAAGACTTGAGGTGGTCACGACACGATTCGATCTATAACATGGGGAAGAATAGCTGCCACGTTGTGACGATAGATTCTAACGGCTGTGCTTTAGTTACCTTCTCTTGAAAAATAATAGACGCATGAACGAATAAAATTGCTTCTTCCATATCGTCTTCAAAAAGGACCTATACGTCATGTATCATCCGACTGCGTCCGATCAGCTCACCAGGCACCGAGAAACGGCATCGAGACTGTCTGTGTTATTCAGGGTACGACCTGTCTTCCTTCTCATAACGGCTGATACCATCTGAGAAGACATTCTCGGCGAATGGGTTTTCTTCGCATTGGACGTACTTTCACTGCAATGACGGCAATGATAATGCCGAGTATTGACGACCAGGGGTTCAGGAGGAAGAACTCGATCATGGTCGCGGGAAAACCAACAATAACAACAGAGTGTATTCTCTCCGCAAACAGCTTCTACTCGATCCTCATCATCGGAACTCGCGATCCTTAGTCTTGTGAAAAGCCCCATGAGAACGCTGCTGCCGTTCTAACTAGTTTGTGATCCTGTCCTTACAGCATAGCGGACGCCCCACTTTCAAGGTACGACGTTCTATCATGTAAACATCGGGTTCGTTTTAGACCTCAAGCAGGCGCCCTGGTGGGTCCTCCGAGCCTTGGAGCATGGTAGATTTCATATACGCCCCACTGGAGTGACACTGAATTGTCATAGCCCCGCACATACTCAGCATTGGAGACTATCCACGAATCACCATCACCCGCGACTCGCCATCTGAACTCACTGACTGTGCGCCATTGACCGCGGCGTCACGCGACACACGTGCACGCTTCACAGGTTGCTCCGAAACTTCATTGCGGGGCCATTCTCAAGTCGTATTCGACCGTGAGTAAAGTCAGTGTTGGATTAGACTCTGAGCTCTCAGATGCGTCCACTGAGCATCAGGCAAGACCATGAAGCTGTGGTGGGATCAAATCACATTCCCCTATAATCCAGCTCCACTACTCCTGGAGCACTGTCTCTTATCCCAACACTGCTAGTGATTTGCCCATTGAGATAACACTACACTGGATATAATTGCAGGACAATGCCTTACAAGGCCGGATTATACTTACCCGTCGAGGACTATCTTCATCATAAGCTTAGCTAAGAGATTCCTTCAGCTCAGAGAGACATATATCGTGCGTTACGGGGGATTGGGACAGCGACAATGATGCAGCAGCATCTTACAACACGGATGACTACAGAGCCGGCTCTGAAGCGTGTTAGACAGATGCGTAGAGCACTTGGCGGTGTTATATCAAAAACCACAGCGCAATTCGCGAGTGGCAAGATTCCCGACAAGAGAGAATTCTTCTTAACGATCTCGACTCGAAATCGTAACCGTAAAACGGGTTCCATATCGAACACAGCTTTACACTACTGTGAATTGCAGGTGACTCACCCTCGCCCACCTGAGATGAGCATGTTTGAAATATCCGGGCATCCTTACCTGCGGCTATTTCTGTGCGAGTATTTCGCGTTCCACGTTCGAGCATGCGTGCTCAAGTGTTCCCCCTGCACCCTAGTTCACAATTATGTTCACTTATTGAATGTACACCATGATGGGTGGTCTACGATGGTGTAGCTAGAAACTCGATGACAGAATTGTTTCGAGTACAGTATGTACTAAAAGAGTTAGAGAATTCCGAAATGCTCTATAACAGTTCTGAACAGTTGTACGTGCTGGCCATCGAGGTTTCTTAGCTAGTCATTACTTTTTCCAATAACCCACTGGCAAACGCAACAAGAACTGAACTCGCGAACTCAGAGTGTAGACTATTAGACAATTGTAACATGCCATGCTCACATGCTTCTCGATGGTATTTCACATGGCAGCAACACTGTTATGAATGTCCCTCGTGGTTCGAGAAATAAGAGAACCTAGTTAGCCTATAAGCCAGAGGATGACAACGTCGACGTAACGCCAAGAATTTCCCTCCCCTTTCTCGGTCATCAGAAAATGGTAGAGGCGGTATGAAAGAACTCGGGATTGCCTACTTCTCGAAGGTCTGCACTAATGGACGTGTATTTGCTCTTCCCGTTATCATCGAACAAAACCTAAATTTGAGCTAGTTCCCATCATCAAACAATCATCCAGTCAGAAGCAAGATCCATGTAAAACTCATCAAAGCGATAGTGGGCTTGAAAAACGCCATCCTCTCCAGACTGTCTTCAAGGAATTTCCCTAGATTTTAGTGAAATAGGTGGTCGTTTTGAAATCGTTCCGACACATGATTGAACTCGTCAGTTGATGTTGTAGGGGCTTACGGCAACAGCTTCACTGGGGCGAACACCACAACGGTCAAGTGGTAGAGAGGATCCTCAATATCATACAGACTATAGCGTGACAAGCTAGCTCTGCACGCAAAAAGTACGAACACGCTGTTCGTTACGAACAGCGCAACTATCCGTACTCTGAGCATACTTGCTAAAAAAGATCTTCTTCTTATATAACTTGGCCGCGGCACGACCCGGTCGAGGGCATTTTAGCCGCCAAAGTTGACCATTTATTATCAGACTAGACGGCCAAGCATCGAGGCCGTCGTGTCAACGGCGCAATATTTCGACGCCACAGTCGGACCATAAGCAATGATCACATCGCTGGTACAGGGTTGGTCAAGCGCCCTACCCTACACATGGAATCCTTGATAAGCGCGGCAAGCTCGTTATCTCTGACCAGCTAGAAGAGATCTATACCATCTAGAACAGTTGACATGAGAACAGCGTCCATATGAGCTCGATCCTCGGATAGCCAATACGTGAGGGATCCTCAGCTAAGCTCTGAACGCGCTGAAACGACAGGAAGACCCACTGGAACTTCCGGAGAATTCCCTCATCGCCTTGAAGGTAACGACATGCAGTGTGGGGGAATATGTAGATGGTAAACTACATTTGAAAGTGACAATATTGAAGTTCTGAGGCAAAATTTTGGGGATTTTTCATTGGTTTATGATCTTACCGGATCCATATACAAACTCTTGTATTCCGACTCGGTTGGTGAGAAAGCTCCTGAGAATCTCAGGAGATCTCCTGAGATCTCAGGCCGAGATCAGCTAAGGAAAGCGAACACATATTCCAACGCTGACGATACGGGGCTTTCCATCAAGGAAGATGCGACATCTCCAAGTTGAACTTTTGACGGTAAAAACGATCCCAACGAGTTCCCGTTCTCCAACGCAATTCTCATACAACCCTTCTTGCATGGCAGGCCCCCCTAAAGCCTCATCTCACAACATGGTATGTTATTAAAATGCTCTACTGCATTCAACCGATCATACAAAGTTGACAAATGAATTCCAATAACAACGATACACCGATAGTCGCCATAAGCAGGATTCATCATGAGATCTCAAGGTCCGAGTTCAAGCCAGAATCCTCAACAGTGTCCTGTCGAAGTACCATAAGAATCTTAGCCTCCTTACTCCGGTGCTCATTCTGGATACTATATGTAATGCCAGCTCGAACGATGAAGAAATCACCAGTGCCAAGAGCCCGCTCTTTATCTTCATAGTGTAGCAAGATAGGAAACTCCTCAACAGCCTTGTCGCCACCCTCCCCACATTCTAACACCAGTATGATCGCCGAGTTGCCCTCAGACACAGTCTCTGGCATCTTCTGCTGGAACGGCTTCAGCTGGAAAATCACCGGCATAAACTGTTGAGAGTCTAGCGGCACCACACATTTAACACCGCTGAAAATCTTCATAGTGCGGTCCTTCGCATATGAAACAAGTTTGTGACCAGCAGGAATCTTCTTGTCCGTACCATCACTCTTCCAACACTTGTCCTCCGGAGAGTACTGTGCACACGTCGGGCCGCCCTCACGATGAGCATGGGCTGCCACAACCGTCTCCGGTCTTCCAGCACCTGACATGACTTCGATCCAGAAACCTATAATTTTCCCGGGAGGAACTCATTTTGAATCTTCCACATGGCTAGGAACAGATTCTTCAATCAGTTTCCCATGTAAATATCATCACATTAGGAATATCATTTTTCTTATTGTTATCAAACCCTGGGCAGCGTTATTTCTCAAAGCTAGATGGATCCCTGCATAGTTCCCATCACAACCTTACGTGTTTTCTTGCCGGCCCCTCGAGCCTCGGTCGCTCCCTTCGATGAGGCCTTAGCTGCTGCCACTCTCTGAGCCCCCCTCTTTGCGTTAATGACGCCGGTCTTCTTCCGGGCAGCCCGGGACTTGGCCTTGGGCTGGGGTTGCCTTGCTCGTGCTGTCGCCTTCTTCTTCCCACGCTTCTTCCCACGCTCTACTTTAGTAGGAGATCGCTCCGACACCAAACTGGAAATCTTGTCAATCACAGTGGATTCCGGAGGTACTACAGCTGAGGGATAATGAGTCACCTGAAAGTGCCCCAAAGGGTCTCTCACATTTATTCGGATCATAGCTCTCCTGACTGGCCCTATTCCTCCCCCGAGGAGATGCCACTTCCACAGAAGACATCCTACTTTCACTCCTACCACCTGAAAGATTTCACATTCCCAAGGATCTTCAAGTCTTCACTACTCCCTCCGTTTTTCTTATCATGTCTACGCCTCGAGCGAACTCCTATCATGAGATCCTTCCCACTATCAGTCCGCTTATACACGACTCTCTCGCCCTTCAAAATGTTAAGTGGGGGCCTTCGGGTGGACCTCGGAGCACCCCTCCCATACTCGTGCTGCTCCTGACAATAAAATATGCACATGGTCAACTGCATGTGTTGGGGACAATATGAAAATTCTGAGGAAATTTCAGAAAATTTTGGTTAGTTTCTGAACATTTCTGTCCGAATTCGTATATAAACATGTATAATTAGTGAGACAACTCCTGAGATCAGCTGAGGAAAGCGGACATATATTCCAACACTGGAGTTTCAACGTAAAACTCGGCGAAAAACCCGATACTCGCAGTATGCAGTAGTCGTGAAATGTGTTTTTCACTAATGTTTTTCATATCACTAGGGTGAAACTCCACTGAGTCAATCAACAAGATCGCCCTTGAGTTCTCACAAATTCTTCTTCAAGAGTTCCATCACTGCTCTCAGGATCTCTGTTCTTCCTATGCTGAGCCTTCTTCCGATGCGGAGCTGCCACAGTAGGCCGATACAGCTCCGGCCCAACTTGCAGCTGACACTTACAATAACGAACATCAAGTACAACGCGGGTGAACTTGATATGCAAATGTGTGTGATTTTTTTCCGAGATTAAACTATATCGCATATACAATGTAACAATGGCTATGAACATATGTTGTGATGAAAGTACCCGTCTGGGGTACTTGTTCACTATAATTTGTCTGACAAAATAACACACATTTGCATATCAAGTTCACACGTACCGTAGCGGCAACCTACTGAAGTATCCACCATCTTATGCCTCTCCTCCCTCCCATGACGATCCCCGAATGATACCGTTTCCGAAGGGCCAGGTATGTCAGAAACCGCATCATCACATATACCAGGGTCGGCAAAGTCAGGTTCCTCAGCAGCGGTGATATCGAAAGAAGGATCTTCGGAAGACAAGTGCCTACACATACATTTTTTCCCGAAAAATTTCTTTTTTTACTTTTCTCATTAAAATTTTCCCAATATTTTAACACATTACCAACAACGAATGTTATACCAGATCTACTTGAAGCTTCATCAAACGATAACGCGTGTTGGTGAAAATTGAATTTCGACCAGAGAATACCAGAAAAGTCAACAGCTGCGTTTATTGGCGCATATATATCTCGGGCGAGCGATACTATTGTCCATATAAACGATGGTATCGAGCTACATTTTACGTGTGAAGTCTATACATGACAAAAACTGCACATATATGGGGTAGAAAACTATATTTTACACATTTTCCGACTCCCTTTAGTGTGACGAATCGAATGGTATATACCATAAACCTGACGAAATTTGGACACTTTATCTTCCCCAGATGCTATCCGTGTTATGTTAGTAGCTGTGGATATATTCAATCGAATATGCATGCCTTGAAGAAAGTACTTGTATATAGCTATCACGGTAGTTGGACTTTTCAACATAGTTCATATCCAAGTGGCATTGATTTGTTACAAGTAACATCACACCCACCTAGCCGTCTCGTCGGGATCTTCAGAGGACTCTCTCCTCGAGTTACGATGGCCTCCCACGGGACCACTTCGGAGCAGATCAGACCGAACGACCCTTCCCTCAGGGTGACGATGACGATCCGCCCTCTCTACTTCTTGAGCCTCCGGATCTAGTAATGAGAGGAACCCTCTTGAGCTCTCCCGAGTCGAACAGTACAGTGCGTTTCAATTTGATATGCGAACTACGTCATTTCCCATTCGAGTACATTCCTAACGCTCGCAAAGAGCGACATGAACTAATATACAATCTTCTCTACAAAATGTCCAACTACAACCCAACACTGAAATTTCATCAGTTTTACGTGAAGCGGCGTGAAAGTCGGCGAAAAACGCGATATTCGCGGTGATATGCAGTAGTCGTGAAATATGTTATTCACTAGTGTTTTCCATATCACTAGGGTGAAACTCCATTTATATACACCAAATAGTACGTTTCAATTTGATATGCAAATGCGTATCATTTCCCGAGATTGAACTATATCGCATAAACAATGTTAACATTGCTATGAACATGTGATGTGATAAAAGTAACCTTTCGAGATTGTGATAGCGACAAGTTGTTCATTATCAATAAAAAGAAAACACACATTCTCCATATTTGCATATCAACTTGGCACGCAATCACTCTACTGCTACTTCCATCGCAACACCAATCACAGCACGCCGAGCGCCCCTCTCCCACCGAGAGTGGGAGGAAATATACATATGGTCAACTACATGTGTTCGTGACAATATGAAAAATACTGAGGAAGATATGGGAAAATCTCATTGGTTTCTGTACACTTCTATCCGGATTGTATTTGAACTCATATAGGAAACTCCTGAGCTCAGCTGAGGTAAGCGAACATATATTCCTACTCCAACACTGTATAGGAAACTCCTGAGCTCAGCTGAGGTAAGCGAACATATATTCCTACTCCAACACTGCATAGGAAACTCCTGAGCTCAGGTGAGGAAAGCGAACATATATTCCTACTCCAACACTGTATAGGAAACTCCTGAGCTCAGGTGAGGAAAGCGAACATATATTCCTACTCCAACACAGCTACTCCCACCTAGTGTATTCATGTAGCTAGCCCCGTATTCATCGCCAGGTTGGGACTCCACATTTCCTACTGAGCTAACACTCCCACCTCCCCTGGGAACACCCTGGGAACAAATACTGCATGTTCTGGAGAAATACAACACATACTATTTCCCTCTCCCTGCGGTCCTTCCTATGGCCTCGATGCGCTCCACGATGATCACGTTGTTGATGATGATGATGCCCTCGCGAGTGATTTCGTTCATGCCGATTCACAACTTCGGGAACGACCGCTGCCTCCGCCTCGTCCAGCAACGATTGGAAAGTGCCCTACTTCACAGTAGGAGAGCATCCTTCCTACTCGCCCACCTCCACACTAGTGGTTTGCGAATTCTGATGTTGATCTCTCTGCCGTACTCGGACAGGCTCGTGCGTTGGCACCACGCTGGCCTGGCCCCCCGGGGCTCGGCCTGCTCTTCTCCTTTCCGGCCTCCTTATGCGTTCACGTGCAGCAGCATCCTCTGGTGGGATAGGCCTGGAAAGGCGACACCGGTGCTGGGTGGTGATTTTCTCGTTCGCCCTCATATCCCAAAAACGGTTCATTCCAATATTCAATGAATAATCGTTATATCTATGCTTTGTGAAAGTTTCGCCGACGGGAAATGTAGATTTTTTCAATTTCCTTCGGAAAAAAATTCGCTCCTCATGTTCTTATTCCTAAACTAATTTGGGGAGTTTCCTCGCTGCTTACCGAAGTTCACAAACGGCCTGGAGTAGAAGTGTACAGAAATTTTCGTATTGCCACCAACACATGCATTATAAGCGCCGATATCAGCGGCATTTTCTCTACCTCGGAGGCACCTCCCCTCGCCAGGGACCGAAGTGATGACAAACATCCTCAGCTGATTCCCTATCACCCTCAGGAGGACTAAACACAGCTCATACCAATAGCCAGATTCAGCAGCACCCCCACGAGCTGCTGTTCCGCGGCCTCTTCCTTCTCCTCACAATAGCCGCCGAGTTATCAAGCTCCCTCTCCCCCTCCCAGTCCGTATTACAAGCTGTGTCTTTCACCTCGACTGAGAAAACATCACTTCCGACACAAATAAAAAATAACTTCACCTCTGTCGCGCCCTTCGGGACGCCTCTTGCTCTCCAGCGAGCAGTGCTCACAGCAGGTAGGCAGCTTACCACCACGTTTACACGGACATGCATTACAACACATCGCATGAGCGTCCCGTATGTCGGCATTGCCCGTGCCTCTACTGCATAAGGCCGGCCGTGTGGTACGGCTCGGAAAACCGCCTATAGTCGACCTCCTCTTCAGTCTTGGCGACCTGATCTGACAGCATTGCCCGACCTAAGCACAAACCCCTACCCAAATGTAGCCGTCTGGTTGAGCATTCCCTGATTCTCTTCATCTCCATCCTGCGGGCAAAACAAAGCCCTATAGTAGCAGTAATGTTCGTCCTAAGCACTCACCTCATACGCACTTCCTATTCGTCCATCTGCCGACATAGACCTCCTCAATCCTCCCTCTCTGAAGGGGAAATGTCCATCGAAATGAAAGACATCTGTCATTAGACTTACAAGAAATTATCAATTGTACTACGCCTGTGAGAAAGGCTAGTTCTGAAAGCGTTGCTGTTCCGACGGGCCGCCACTGGTCGCTCTTCAGGCGATAAAGTGTCAACCTCAACCGGTCCGAAGCGAGCAAGACCGCCCTGAACAGCCCCTTATACAGCCAGGGTAGAGAAATATACACCTAGTCAACTACATGTGTTGGTGACACTATGAAATTTGTGAGGAAATTTTGGTAAATTCTCCTTGCTTTCTGGACATTTCTACCGGGGCTCCTCTATAGAGGAGAGCGAACATACATTCGTCCAACACTGCATACGAGTGTCTCAGCCTCACCCCAAAGTTAGGGGCCTCCCTAGATGTCAGTTGATGATCTTCTTCACGTATGACCTTCATAGACGGCCCCATGGGAGCCCGAATCTCTCGAGGGCCAGGCCCCTCCTCCATCTATCGATACCGCTGATCGAGCTCACACAAGCTACTCTCACCTCATGAAGTAGAGGCGTGGCAAAGCCCCCCGCTATGGTATGCCCTAGGCAGTTACTTCCGACACTGGACGGGGTCAACGGGGGGAATCGTGACTAGCAAGCACAGCTACATCGACCATCGCATGCCTATGTGCATCTACCATCAACTTCTTGCGCTCCTCACTGAGCTTGGCTAAAACTTCGTCGGTCCTCTTCCGAGCCGCCTCAGGAACGACCGGCGTGCTCACTGGGTGCGACATAGCTCGTCGGAACCGCCTGATCAGCGACTCGCGTAAAGGCTCTATAAAAGGTCGTACTTACTCCCAGGCTGGATTGTCCTCATAGTTGGGGCCTGGGGGTAATGAAAATTGACCAGGGAAAGACGCAGGTGCCCAAGCATACGGAGAGTATACCCTAACACAAACAATTTGATATGCAAATGTGTGTTATTTTCTCCGAGATTAAACTATATCGCATATACAATGTAACAATGGCTATGAACATATGTTGTGATGAAAGTACCCGTTTGGGACTGTGATGATAGCGACAACTTGTTCACTATAATTTGTCCTACATTTTCATATCAAATGGATACACACTATACGTACGAGTATAACCACATAGCTAACGACGTAGTACTCCTCCGGAAAGGGCGGTGGGGGATAAGTCGTGGAGGAGCCCATAACACTAGGGAACTGGCTCCGGTTCGCCATAGAAGAAATCGAGTGACAAGACGGCCGACAATATACAACTACAGTAAGGCATGACCCTGTTGTGGCGAGTACTCCGAATTCTCACAAAGAGCTCTATGAACTGCGACCAACTTTATCAGAAGAACAGCCTAAGGCAATCGTGGTCATCCCTGGCTTGCGAATTGACATGTATTAAACTCGATACCTTTATAATAGTTCACAACGCAAGGGAGATACACTGCCAGGCTCGAGTGTACTCTTAAAAGTCCTCAGAGGAGACATCACCTTCACGTGGCGATCGACATGAAATCACATCAGATCGCGTTAGACTTAGTCGAAACTCCCCAAGAATCTCGTAGAGCTAGGCGATGAATGGACAGGGAGTATAGTGTCACCCCCAGTGGCAGTCGCGTGCCGTGACGGTTGAGACTAAGCCGGGCACTAGATACTCTGAGTAACTACTGTTGGTTCAGTAGTTCCTGTGGGGATGAATCTCTTCCCTGCTCTCTCCTTGCACTGCTATTGATTAACACGTTATAAAACTACCAACGCAGGGCTATGATAACAATGGGTGCAACGACAGCATGTCTTTGTTAGAACACGACATCGTTCAGTGTCGTACAGAGCATCAACACAATCGTCACCTTCGCCCATCTACTCTCTACGCTGCCATCACCGAGGTCGGCAAGAAGCTCAAGTAGGAACAGTAAGCCGTCGAATGCCTGAACAATGAAGTTGTTTCAGCTACTCGGCGTGTTGAATTACTTACTTCCAAAGGCGCCCACTCATGAGCGTTGCATAACCTCTCCGCCCTGCTACATAGCTGAGACTGCACTCTATCCCACTCCGTTTGCTTAGCCGCTGACTGGAGCTCCGACAGCAGCTGAGTGGCTCTGTATTTATCAGCGCCTCCTTAGGAACCTGAGAGTTCCCCTCCACTGCATCGAAGGCATTTGGAAAACTACCAACTCAGCAAACCGGATGCTTCCTTGAAGAAAACTAAACCATGAGAAATGAATAAACCCTTGTGCTCTGCGCCGTCACGAACAGTGATTACTCCTGAACATCGCAGTAGTTTTGAACTTACCAGGAGAAAGCTGTGACATGACTAGAGAGTGATTGTTGGTGACAGTAAAAGCCCCTTCTGTCCTGGCAGATTCACACTGTCGACCTGACAGTTGAAAAAAAGGAAAGTGCTGTAACGACCACGTATAATTATTGGCTTTTGATAGAATATATCCTCCTTAAGAGATCCCATAGTAAGCAGCAATCGGCTGGTAATGCCGGCTGGTGTGCTGGCACTAGGTAGGAGGCCAGCACGTAGAATAGGGGAGACGTGAAGAGACATCTAGTGTGATGACTATATCCAACGGCGTGGGAAAATATGCACATGGTCAACTATGTGTGTCGGTGATAATTTTTTTTCTGGAAATTTAAGTGAATTCTTGTTGGTTTCTGTACATCCATGCTCGAATTCGTATGAATAAAAAATCAGCAGAACCTTCCAACGATTCCGTCAGAATTTTCATATTGTCACCAACACCTGTCGTTGAACATGTGCATATTTTCCCACACTGCTATCCAAACAGGCAGTGCTGATCATCATCGGCAGCCATGATGAATGAGAACATACTTCCACAAGAGTGTGGATGCAAAGTATAATGAAGTTTCACCCGTTTTGCGGGAAGTGGCGTAAAACTCGGTGAAAAACGCGATATTCGCGGCCTGTAGTAGTCGTAAAATATGTTTTTCACTAGTGTTATTCATATCACTAGGGTGAAACTTCAATCTTAGTTCATTATCACATGCCATGTTTTACACTGCACTTAGACAAGTGAGTATATAAACGGATCGTTACAGTGAGAAATGGCGAGGACTTGACTCCTACAATCTGATTGAGCCGCATTCTACGCAATCACAATAGAGACCATTTTTCACGCCCTGACCGATTCATGTGTTTTTGGGAGGAGTTCAGCGGGAGGCAACATTTACCGTTGAATTTGCACCATTTCCCGGTCAATTCTAAAGCAGTTGTTCAAAAGTTCAAACGAGTTCCACACAAAATTAAGGAATGATTTTGAATCATTGTGAAATCGAATTCATTTTGAAGTGAAAAGTTTACTCATTTCTCCGAGAAATGGTTTAGGGTTGCTCAGGCGATGTTGACTCACATAAACAGTGTCATAAAATTGGTGCATGGTCAATCACATGTGTTCGTGACAATATGAAAAAAATCTGAAGAAAAATTTTGGAAAATCTTTGCTACTCTCTGTAAATTTATGGTATATATCCTCCCAATTTCGTGTATAAAATGTGAGGGAAATATTGAGCTCAGGTGAGGAGAGCGAACTTTTTTTGCAGCACTGAGCATAAGAAACACCAGTTACCACTTCTGTAGGTCTTGCAGGGCTGCGTGAACGTGAGTGGAACCATGGACTCCAGAAGATCTCGAATCGTCTGCGAATGATACGGATCTACTCTAAGGATAGTAATCTCCTAATAATAGAACTCAATACACGACAAGTCAACAGATATAACCTTGTACGAGAGCGGACGTACAATAGATACGTTACGTAACGTAACGGTTACGTTACAATTATGATTACGAACTACGTATGAGCTACAACTAGCTCTAGCTTTGCAGCACCTTGGCACACAGGAACAATTGTGTTCGGACCGAAAATTAGGGGCAAGGAAGCAATGTGGCACAATGGTCTAGCCACGGGCACAAGTTGTGCCTGCGACTGCTTCTACGACTTCTTGCGACTGCTTCTAGTGTTGTACCACACAACACTAGAAGCAGTCGCGAGCGCCCGAGTGATCGATTATGATCCTGCGTTACCGCAGATCTGAGTGCTCGCAGCACCTTTTCGGTGTGTCCCTGATAGGGTTGGCATAAGCACAATCACCTGTGACGTAGAAGAAGGGGTAACAAGACTATTTCGTAGGGGCTTTACTTGACAGAATCAACTCGGGAGGTGCTACGATCTATCTAGTTGAAGGAGATGTTCATCAAGGATGGTGCGCCGTATTGGGGGCTAGTGAGGCGTGAATGATTTTTCCAAACTCACCACTTCATCTGGCTTGACAGCTTATACATCTTAGCGGTAGTTTCAGTAGCGAACGCTCGCGTTGTTAGCTCTCTGTCGTCGCTGCGAAAGGTGTTGTTGCAACGTTAGTTTGCGATTTGCGATTAGGGCAGTGGTTCCTATTCTTTGAAGGGTCTAAAACCATATATTTTTGTTAATATTATTATACCTTATATCGATAACCATGTTAACAGGATGTTATATCATATTTAATGTATCTATATTATAATGATATTCTATTACCTTTTGTATCTATTCGTTGCGTGGTAGATCTAGACTCTCCATTATCCATCTCAGCATCAAGCCTTGAAGATAGAGACATATTATTATTAATAATACGAGTGGGAGTTGATAGTATGAAAACAATATTATCACATACAATACATTGAACACCTTATCATCACTCGTATCATTATATTAGCATAGCATAGTAGCTAGCCTAGACTTTAGCACAGCTTGTAGGAGATTGTGCAATAGGAACGATTGTGGAGGGTCATCGCGTCGGACTTGAGAGGGCATCCCGTCAATGAGTATACTCTCAATCCTGTCGGGATAGGTATAATAGAGCTCGAATGTCCCCGTCGTCGAGGCGCCCACAAAAACGGTCGAGAAGTGATGACATATCTTCAAAGGTTCGCTCTCTGCTAGAAGAAAATGACGAAGGTGCAGCTAGACAGGTGCTAGCAGCAGAAACTTGGTGTATTGTATAACAGCATTGTCAGATTCTGTCGCTTATCAAAGATGAGATATCTCCTGATGATGTAACTACGTGGTCCGACCCTGTTGATAGCAAACACAACACTTTGCTGCACTTGGCAGTGTCGGCTCGTAACTCCATGTGGGCTAGGCTGAACTCCCCATTCTGGCTAGTCGAGACTTGCATTCAGGTTGATCCGCCTCCTATGTAACGAATTTAGTTTCAGCGTAAACGCTCAGCGGAAAGGGGACAAATGTGAGCATTGTCATTGTACACATCACTCACACACAACGTTGGAAGATATCTCATGGCCGACCACATGTGTTGGTGGCAAAATAAAAGTTTTTAGGAAATTTCCGGAGATTCTTGTACGTTTCCAGCTGCTCAGTTGAGGAAAGCGATCATATTTCCCAACACTGCTGAGACTTAACATGAAAGTCTCAACCTTTAGGCACGCCACTGCATCTATCGATTTGGAATCAAACGATGGACATTACTCGGATACTCAGCGAGGAGTTGTCAGCTGATTGGGACCTCACAAACAGCAGAAATGAATCACCTAGGG